AACACAAGAACAAGTTATTAAAAGCTAGTGAAAAAGTTAGAGAAACAAATCACACATAAAGGAAAGCCTGTCAGAATCACAGTAGACTGCTCAACACAAAACTTCAAGTCAAGGAGAGTTTGGACTACAGTATTTCAAGGCCTAAAAGAAAACAACCACTAATCCAGATTGATGTACCTTGTAAAACTATCTTTCAAAATCAATGGAGAAATAAGATACTTGTATGACAAAGAGCACCTGAAGAAATGCACGAGCACCAAACCAGCACTCCAAAATGTTCTGAAGGACATTCTAGAAAGAGATAAAGAGGACTATAACTCCATGAATCCCAACAGAATGAATCCACTAGGCAAGGCAGGCAATTAAACAGAGGGGGGAAAAACGGAACCAACAACAGGAAAATGACATGACAAGGATAAGTCCATAAATATCAGTTATATCATCAATGTAAATGGTCTCAATTCACCAATTAAAAGAAACAGACTAGCAAAATGGATCAAGAAGCAAGATCCAACAATATGATACATACAAGAAACACATATAATTCAAAAATAAATTCATAGGCTGAAAGTCAAAGGATAGAAAATGATATGCTATGTGACAAGAACCCAGAAAAAAAGCAGGAGTAGGTGATCTATCTGCAGACAAAATGGATTTCAAGCCAAGACTGATTAAGACAAAGAAGGTCACTGCATCCTGGTAAAGGGAGCAATCCAAGAGGAAAGATAACAATCTTAAATATATATGCACCAAATACCAGCACACCCAACTATATAAAACAAATATTAACAGACATGAAAAATCAAATAAGCACTAATACAATTGTAGTGGGGGACCTCAATACCACACTTTCATAAATAGACAGATCAACTGGACAAAAAAATCAACAAAGAAATATCAGAACTGAATCAAACTTTTGAACAAATGGACTGAATAGATGTTTACAGAGTATTCCACCCCACAACATCAGAATACACATTCTTCTCAGCTGCACATGGGATGTTCTCCAAAATAGATCACATACTAGCTCATAGAAGATGCTTAAGTAAATACAAAGGAATTAAAAGTATTAGATGCATATTATTAGACCATAGTGCAATGAAATTGGAAATCAATGGTGAAAGAAACCACAAGAACTTCATAAACACATGGAAATTAAATACCACCCTCCTGAAAAACCAATGGATCGCAGATGTAATTAAAGAAGAAATTAGACAGTTTCTATAATTAAACAACATACCAAAACTTACAGGACGCAATGAAAGCAGTCCTACAAGTGAAATTTATAGTGGTGAATTCTCATATCAGAAAAATAGAACAAGCTCAAATAAACAACCAAATGTTGAACCTCAAGCTTCTAGAAAAAGAAGAGCAAGTCAAGCATAAAGCTCATTCGAAGGAGGAAATTATAAAGATCAGAGCAGAAATTAATGCAATGGAGGCTAAGAAAACAATATGAAGAATCAATCAATAGAAGATTGGAAGAGTAAATAAAATTGACAAAGCCTTGGCCAACCTTATCAAAAAAGGAAAGAGGGCCAGGGATTTAGCTCAGTGGTACTGCCTCCTGCCTCGCAAGCACAAGGTCCTGAATTTTATCCCTCGTACCAAAAAATTTTTTAAAAAGGAAAGAAAAGACTCAAACCCACGCAATTAGGAATGAAAAGGGTGAAATCACAACAGATTCTGCAGAAATCCAGATCAATACCTATTTTGAGAACCTGTATTCTAATAAGATGGAAAACACAGGAGAAATAGACAGATTCCTAGATACATATGAATTACCAAAGCCGAATCAAGAAGATATAAAAATTCTAAATAAACCAGTATCAGTGAAATTGAAGATGTAATTAAAAACCTACAAACAAAGAAAAGCCCTGGCCCTGATGGATTCACTGCTAAATTCTATAAGAAATTTAGAGAAAACCCTAATGCTGCTACTTTTCAAACTCTTTACAGGAATTGAAAAGGAAGCAACACTCCCAAATTCATTCCTGGAAGCAAGCATTACCCTGATACCAAAATCAGAGAAGGATCCAACCAAAAGAGAGAACTACAGGCCAATCTCCCTAATGAATATAGATGCAAAAATCCTCAACAAGATACTGGTAAACAGAATGCAGCAAATCATCAAGAAGATTATACACCCTGACCAAGTTAGATTCATCCCAGGGATGCAGGGATGCTTCAACATATGCAAATCAATAAATGTTATACACTATATTAACAGAGCCAAGGACAGAAACCATATGATCATCTCAATAGATGCAGAAAAAGTGTCTGACAGAGCCTAACACCCATTAATGATAAAAAAAAAACCCTACAGAAAATTAGAATACATGGTCTTTATCTCAATCTGATAAAAGCCATCTATGACAAACCAGAAGCTAACATCATACTAAATGGACAGAAACTGAAAGCTTTCACTCTAAAATCAGGAACAAGGCAAAGACGTCCACTATCACCACTCTTATTCAATATAGTTCTGGAAACATTAGCCAGAGCAATTAGACAAGAGAAAGAAATAAAAGAATAAGAATAGGAAGGAAAGAAGTTAAATTATCATTATTTGAGGATGACATGATACTCTACATAGACCCCAAAAACTACACCAAAAGACTTCTAGAAATTGAGTAGGGTGGTTGGATACAAAGTCAACAATCAAAAATCAGTAGCATTCCTCTACACAAATAACAGACTCACTGAGAGACAAATTAGGGAAACAACCCCTTTCACAGTAGCACCCAAAATAAATTAAATACCTAGGAATCGACCTAATGAAGGAAGTAAAAGACCTTTACGTTGAAAACTACAGTGCTCTGAAAAAGGAGATTGAAGAGGATATCAGAAAATGGAAAGGTATCACTTGTTCTTGGGTAGGAAGAACCAATATCATGAAAATAGCCATACTTCCAAAGCTGCTATACAGATTTAATGCAATCCCAATGAAAATACCAATAGCATATCTCATAAAGTTAAAGAAAATAATCCTTAAATTCATTTGGAACCAGAAGAGACCTAGAAGAGCAAAGGCAATTCTGGGCAACAAAGGCAAGGCAAGGAGCATCACAATCCCAGGCTGGAAGTTATCCTAAAAAGCTACTGTGATAAAAACAGCATGGTACTGGAAACAACAACAACAACAACAACAACAACAACAACAAAACAGACCTGAGAATTAGTGGAGCAGATTAAGAGATACAGAAACAACTCCAAACATACTCAGCCACCTTATCTTTGATAAAAGACCCAAACACCTTCACTGTGAGAAAGACAGCCTCTTTAATAAATGCTGCTGGAAAAACTGGCTTTCCATATGCTGAAGATTAAAACTAAACCCATATCTTTCACCATGTACTAAACCGAAATGGATCAAGGATCTACATATTAAAATGGAAACACTAAATTTTCTGGAAGACAGAATAGATAGAACTCTAGAAGACATTGGTGTAGGCAAAGACTTTATGAACAAAACCCTGATAACATAGGAAATATCACAAAGTATCAACAACTGGGATCTCATCTTTTTAAAAAGCTTTTGCTCAGCAAAAGAAACCACCAACTGAGTGAAGAGACAAACCACAGTGTGAGAAAAAATTTTGCCGTCTGTTCTTCACACAAAGGACTAATATCTAGAATATATAAAGAACTCAAGAAAAAAACAGATCCCCCAAGTTTAAAGACCCAATCCAAAACATGGGCATCTGAAATGAACAGACATTTCTCAGACAAAGAAGTACTAATGGCACATAAATATATGAAAAAACATCACTGGTCATTCGAGAGATGCAAATTAAAACAACACTGAGATTCCATGTCTCTCCAGAAAGAATGGCTGCTATCAAGAAATCAACCAATAACAAATGCTGGCAGGGTGTGGGGAGAAAGGAGCCCTTCTCCATTGTTGGTGGGAGTGCAGACTGGTGCAACCACCGTAGAAATCCGTGTGGAGATACCTCAAAAAACAGAACTAGGGATTTCACTCGACCCAGCTATCCCCCTTCTTGGTATCTTTGCTGAAAGAATTAAGAGAATCACACCACGGCAAAATATGCACATCCATGTTTATAGTGGCACAGTCTGTAATAGCTAAATCTTGGAAACAGCTCAAATGTCTATCAACTGGTGAATGGATAATGAAGATGTGGATTTTTATACAATGTAGTACTACTCTGCCGTAAAGAAGGATAAGCTTGAGACATTTCTAGCTGAATGGATGCACCTTGAGACCATACACTTAAGTGAAATAAATAGGACACACATGTGTAGATACTGCATTGTTTCTCTGGTGTGAGAAACTGAAAGTGTTAATAAGGACCAAAATGTACAATAGATATTGGGAAATGGGAAGAAAATGTTCAAATGAGAAGGAGAACAAGGTGGGGGGAGGGGGGACAAGAAAAAAGAAATGAAGGGAAAAAATGGAAACAACTTTTGTAAATAAGGAGGGGAAGGGGGGCTGAACGGAGGGGAGGGGAATGGGGAAAAAAGAATCAAGATTTATCTTGTACAGGTACAAAGTCTCTATGATGAATCTGATCACGTGTATATCTAATATGTGCCAAGATTTTTAAAGGTAAAAAAGTGTATAAGAGAATTAAACTTCAGATCTACCAAGTCCTGGCTCTGTAACACTCCTCCAGTCAACAGTCTGACCTAAGAAATCACCTCTGCCTCCTAATAGCTGATTACTCTCCGGTAGCAAGGCTGCTGCAGCAACTATAGTTCGGCCTGTGAATCTCCCAATCCAAGAACATAAAAGGCAAACCAACAGAACATTAAAAGTTTTGCTTTGAGCTCTTTTTGTCATTCGATGACAATATTTTAAAAATTAGTGAAGTTTTAAGAGTATCTACACAGAAAAACAAATCAGTGCAAGGGAACTATGTGGCAGTGTCAACGTGAGCACCCTGGGGCTAACAAGGCTGCCTTTCCATTCCGCAGCTCTGCGACTCCCTCAGCACCAGCACCAGTGGAACAGAATGCAGAGGAACACATACCCACTGCTTCAGCACCATCCCCTTCATGGAGTCTGTGAATGTGACAGCAAACCTGGGAAATGAACAAAAATAATGGAAACAGTTAGGCCAGGATTCAATGAACGGAGCTGTTCTTTGGAACAAATTAGGAGAGACAAGGTAAGACACTGAATTTAAGGTGCAGTCGATCTTTATTACTCGTGGTCACTGACCATTAGGTTTAATCTCTGTTCACATCACAAAAAGAAGTATGTGCCAGAAGTGAACCAAATGGCCCTCGAAACTTCCTAGCTTTCTTGTTTCTTCAATGTCAGGTCAGAGAAGTTGGGACAAAGTTTTGAAAAACAGAAAGCAAGATGCAGGGGAATGTTATGGTTTTTTTATCTGGGTGTTCCCCAAAACCTCATGGGCTCAGAGGCAAGGTTTTTAAAAGGTGCTTGGATTGTGAGGTCTACAGGTGGCTTAAGTGTTGGAAGAGGTGGGTCTCTGGGGTGTGGCTTGGAAGGGTCGTCTCCCTTCCTGGCTCCTCTCCTTTCTCTGCTTCCTGTCCTCCATGAGGTGAGCAGTGCTCCTCCACCAGGCCCTCCCAGCAGGGGCCCTGCTTGAGGCCAGCCAACTATCATAAGCCAAAATGAGCTCCTCCTTTAAGTTGTGAGTGTTGGGTATTTCGTCTTAGGAAAAAGAAAAGTGACCATGACAGAGAGAAGCAAGGACCTCCTCCATCCACCCTCAGCACCCAGAGAAGGTGACCCAGCCGTGCGCTTCACAAAGGAAGGCTGGGCCATGCACCCGATCTGCTGAGGGCACCACCAGTGACTGCCCTCTGCACCTCAGTACAAGGGGCTCTGTAGCAAATCCGCAGAGTGCCAAAGTAGCATGAAGGTGATCTACTTATTCAGTATGTGATTGTCATAAGTGCAGGAAGATTAGCAGGAAATGTACAGCACATCCCTACATAGGAATAGTACAGAGATATTCCTTTTCATCAAATTGGATGAGAAACCCAGTAACATTTCAAGCAAAATCCACAATTGAATTTCCATTGGAAGTTGACAAAATAATAATAAAGTTCATATGTGGAGCCGGGCGTGGTGGCACACGCCTGTAATCGCAACACTTGGGAGGCTGAGATAGGAGGATCTCCATGAGTTCGAGGCCAGCCTGGGCTACACAGTGAGTTTAAAGCCAGCCTGAATTACATAGTGAGAGCCTGTTTCAAAAAACAAAACAAAACAAACAAAAAAGTTCATGTGTGTAATGAGGTAACAAACTCCCAAAAACTTCTGATAGAAGAATTCAGAGATGGGACTTGTATTAGATACCATAACATTCAAAGTCTAATAATTAAGACAGTATTGAAAATAAAAAGCATAAAAAGAAGGACACTGCAAAGATGCAGTAGAGTTGATAATATAAGACCAAGAGCCCATTTAAATGTTTCCCCTTAAGCTACCAGGAGAATGTGCTCTGGCTAAGGTCACGGTGACCTCTGTGTTGAGGGCCCCAATGGTTCCAGCCCACCTGTCACACATGCCCTGTTGGTAGCGTGGGATACAGATGGCCTCTCCTTTCCCCTTGACATGCCTTTGCATGGTCCCCAAGATGTGGTTCTATCCATCCCTGGGCACTGGGTCTCCGCCACCCCCTGCCTCCTGACCCCATGTCTCTAAGGGATCCTGAGGGACTTCTCCAAGCTCCCAAGGGGTTAGTAGCACCAGTGTGCTGAAATATTCCCCACTTTACAGCTCCCAACACCCACACCCTGCACATCCTCTAACATCCTTCCCTCCTCTCTTAGGTGCCTGAAACCAAGCTCCAGCTTAGCAAGTGCAATGTGAGGACCACGCTCCCCAGATCCACAGAGACCTGATGTGCAGATTATGTGTCCACGTTCCCAAGATCCCTTGCTAGGAGAGCCTCGAATAAATGATGCCCATGAGCAAGGAGCATAGATCTTGGTTTCTGAAAAACATTCTCCAGAAGGAACAAGACATCCTTTGAGAAGTGGATGTTTGTAGAAGCAGGATAAGGTGTAGCTGGATAAACCAGGGACATCTTACAGTGCCAGGAAGTAGCAATGTGCTCAAAAAGAAGATCCAGGATGGCAGGACCCAAGCACCAAGTCAGGCATACCCAGGGGCCAAATTTGGGACAACTGAATACCAGAGTGGATACCAGGAATGGGCTATCCATAGAAGGAAGTGAAATAAAGATCTGGTAGGGTTCGCATCTAGATGGCCCCCCAGAGCTTCATAGGTGGGGCTTTGGGGCTGTGATTGGGTCATGGGGTGTGGCACTCATTAGGAGGACACGCTAAGAGAGGATTAGTCCACCCCTGGGTCTGTAGCTGAGTGTGATGTTGGGGGTGGAGCTGGTTGGAGGAGGTGGGCACTGGGGTGTGGCCTGGCAGGGTCCATCTCTCTCCTCCTCCCTGGATCTCTCCTTGCTTCCCGCAACCCTGCCATGGACTGTTTCTCCTCCACCAGCTCCTCTGCCATGCTACCCTGCATCGGAGCCAGCTGACTGTGGACTGAAACCTCTACACACTGTGAGCCAAAATAAACCTGTCCTCCCTTAACTCCTCCCTTAACTTAGGTATTGTGTCACAGTAACAAGCAAGTAACTAAGACAGGATGTATGAGTCCATGTTGCTATGAATAAATCATGGAATACGTAAGTTGGGTCAAAGGGGCAACTCCTCATCATGGTGGAATTCTAGTTCTCAAATGGAGAAGGTACAGTGCCAACAGGAAATTCACCATTAGGCAAATATTGCAGGAATAATCACTGCAGGGAAAGAACCACTCAAGGGGGGAGCGTGACCTGGAAGCACAGAATCTAAGTAACACCTGCTAAAGGAGAGCAGCTCAGGGAGCACAGGGAACTGGGGAGCTTCAGAACCGGACAGGTCAGTAACGCTGCTCGCTGCAGCTCCTGGCCAGCGCTAACACCCAAGAGATGCTTTCTGCTACTATCTTCCCCACGGGAACTGATGCCACTGCCGGACTTGGGCAAGCATCAGACACCCGCAGGCCAGCAAATGCACCACTCACAGCCTCAAACTTGCCAGAGGAAAATCTCAAGCCCCCAAAAGGAGAGGCGCTGCCACACAGCGTGTCAATGACACAAAACCATGCATCTTGCCCCCAGACTAATCTGTAGCTAACGCTCAGGGATGGGCCCAGGGATGCATTTGCAACAAGCTAAACTGACAAATGTGACAACCCGGTTCCTGGGCTTCCCGTGGGAAGGGCAGCTCTCTGGAGCTGGGACATGGCTGTGTCCATGGCTCTATCCCCAGCCCAATGGCAGTACCAGGCATCTAGCAGCCGGCAGGACCCATCCAGATCAGAGGACAGCAGAGGGACAAAGCTCTGACTTCACCTCTAACAGAGCCAAGCAGGGGAAGGGGAGGGGCAGGGAGGAGGGGGGAGGGGAGGGGAGGAGAGGAGAGGGTGGGAAACCCAGGCCAGCCCAGGAGGTGACAGGAGGGAGGGGCACGGACAGATGGGCAGTGGGGTGTGTGTGTGTGTGTGTGTGTGGTCACTGCTGTCCCTGCGGAGACCCCAGGCTTCAGGACGAGAGTACTGAAGGGCGTTTGTCAGGAAGGCCACTTGAGTGAAAGGACAAGGCGGACTGGAGTGAACCAGACACACGTGGCTTAATCCAGGCCACACGATTCTGCCCAAGGGCGGACAGGTCAAGGGGTCCTAGCCCCCAGCCCGGGATGAGAGGAAATTACAAAACCATGGCTTTGGCACTGTTGCAATGCATTGCCACCTCAAACTAGGTTTATTCACTTTCATATGTGATTCTGCTTGTCCGAATCATCTTTGGCGATCTGAGTATGGTGGCACAGCACTCAGGAGGCCGCGGCAGGACGGCCGCGAGTTCCAGGCCAGCCGGAACTACACAGAGACCCTGTCTCAAAAAACAAAACAAAACAAATCACAATCTTTAGTAAAACTGTAGCTCACAACCACATGAAATTACCAATATTCAGCTATTCCTAACCTGCAAAGCAGCAAATATGCCTAGTTTAACCTAACGTGCTACGTATTTCCTAACGGGGAAACTATTTTTGAGGCACTTCATTTTGTGCTCTTGTTTGTTCGTTTGTCTAAAACTATTACGTTTCTTTCAATATGCACCTGGATGACCCTTCACAAACCAATCTCCTCAAATTTCAAGTGCTCTTTATTTAATGTTGATATTCACAATTATCAAATACGTATTATAATACCTATAAGCTGAAAGGCTGATGCTAAATTAAGTTTGAATACTACACTATATAGGAAAAAACCTTTTGAATATTAAAAAGTTCAAGTTATACCCTATAAAAATCCAATGATTTAAAAGTATTCGATTAAAAATGAAATATTCATCACAGAGCTAGATAAATTTAATACTTTGTTTTATAGAAAGCATTGCCCTGTATAGTGTTGGACAAGAAATCTATGATTCACGCAGCTTTCCTGCCTGCTAACCACAATCAATACCCCACAAACAAAAACCAATACCTGTGCTAATAACAATGCAATGAATAACACTAATGATAACACCGTGTGCGGGATTCATTCAATATGGCTCTGGTACGCAGAATTATTTCTCCTCTATAAGCCTCCATTATGAATCACAGGAATCTAAAGGTAATACATTTTTGGGGTATAAAAACCTTTTAAGAAAACCTGTAATGACAGATCACCTTTTGCCGGCAACCCTGAAGTGCTTCTATGCCTGTCTGCTGTGACACACACACACACACACACGCATGCACACACGCTCGTGCAAGGACAATACGTGTCTGTGTCTGCCACATTGTGTGTCCACTGAAGTGGTGTCCAGAAGGCCTCAGACCAGCGAGTATCCATCACCCTGGCCTTGGGGCCACACCCACATCCAGGCTGCGGAGCAGGAACCATGGGTCAGTGGGGACCTGGCGCCCCAGCCGAGAGCAGGCAGTGACCTCGTGACAGGACCCTCACAGGACCTCCACAGCCCCCGCCAGGCTGCTCAGCCGGGAGGAGACGACAGCTGAGCCACAGCAAGCCGATGGCTGGGGATCTGTTGGGTTAAAGAGCAGTTTCTTGCTCTTGTTTTGCTTTCAGTGATACAAAGCCTCCCAGTAGTAAGGAGGCTTCCCTGTGCCTGCACGGCTCTCTGCAGACTCTGAATCTGGGCCCATTCGTACCCAGAGGAGACCCGAGGGTCAAAGGGCACAGACCCCTCCACCGCCTGGGGTCCCCCGAAGCCTCCTGGTCCCCACCGATCTCTCATCAGTGAACACACGAGCATTACTCTTTCAATTCAATTCCCTCTTCTTTCACAATTTTTATAGGCTTTTGTCTTAGAGGGTGGGGACTGCTGCTATCATCTTTTTAATTCTTATTATTGCATTTGTTAGGCAGAGAACATGGAGTGGTTTTTCCCACCGAGACTTCCAGTTTGCTCCCGAATGCTGTGCTGCTACGGTGGTTTTCTGGGCCTGCTTTGCCTGCAGACAAAGTCAGACCAGTTTAATGCCTGGATCCTGACTGGCTTCCCTGAGTGCAGCGGTGGGCAGGGCTCTGCCTGCAAACAGGGACGCAGGTCCCTGCACTGGGCCGAGGGCAGCTCACAGGCAGACAGGGCCAAGGGGGCGACAGAAGGGAGAGCAACACTCGCCACCTGCTGCTCTTTCCAGGGTTACCAGGGAGGGGACATCCTCGCCACCCTGACCAGAACCTCCTGTCTTTTGAAGTTCAGCGTGGTCACCTGGAACTCAGCGTAAGGCTTCTGCTTGGGCTTGGTCTGCCGGCTGGGACTCCCGGTGAAGACCCGGGCAAACCAGCGCCTCCTGTCCATGGGGCGCGACAGAAGCGGGAGCCAACTCAGAAGCTGCTGTCAGCGGGGGCTGGTGATGCCCCTCCCAGGGCTGAGAACTAGGTGGGGGCACATGGGGAATCACAGCCCAGCCTTCTGAGGGCCCTCAGGGATGGCTACAGACAGCAGCTGGGGCCCAGGGTGGCTGGGAGCGCACATCACAGCAGACAGGCTCAGTTTTGAAAGCCAGCAGCTGGGAGGCTGAGGCAGGAGGATTACCACGGGGGAGGCCACTCTGGCTATGTAGTCGGTTCTAAGGGCAGCGTGAGCCACATAGCAAGATCCTGTCCCAAAGCCCAAAGAGAAACAAAAGAAAGAAGGAAGGAAAAGAAAGCCAGCTGTGACCCCACTCAGAAAGGGTCTACAGATCCGGAACACTGCGGCCAAAGCTTTGAGAAGCTGGGTCCCAAGCTGAGGGCTGAGGAAGCCGCAGTTGGCCTGCACTGTTCTCCTGGAGAGACGGCACTGTCTCGCTGCCAAGGACGCTTACCCGGGCCACTGGGAGCCACACACAACCTGCTCACAATGACAGCACCTGGCAAAATAAAACTGTGCCAAAGGGGGAAGCGGCCCGGGACGGGTTTAGGTGGTGGATGTAAGCCTCCCCGAAGACTGGCCTTCATCCCACTTCAGTTCATCCCCAAATCATAACAATGGCCTCTTTTCGTCATTGTTGTTCTGTGGTGTTTCTTCTCCACTTTAATTTTGATGAGTGCAGTTTGTACCGAGTGAGACCAGGGTCTGACCCAGGATGTCCTTGGGGGTCTTACCTGGCTTCCTCGAGAACTTTCCCCATGACTTCTTTCTTCTCTTCCTGGCCGGTGTCCTCATTTACATCAGTGCCCCCGAAGATGACCCCGAAAGGGATCCCGTGACCTGCAACACGACCAGGTTAGGAAGCGGAGTCCGCAGGGCAGCAGCTCGCCCACCCGCCAGGGCAGCCAGCTGTGTGCGCGGTGCAGGGCCTGCTGGCTTTGTCCCTTCCGGTCCTCCGCAGGGCAGCTGGTGTCGCCGATGTAAACTCGGCCCTGCACCTCCTGTCGCCCGGGACCCCTCACGGCCCCCAAACACCACAGACATGAAGAGCCCGCCCGGGCACAGCTGGGCTCGGTGGGGAGACTGTGGCGAGGCGCGCCGGGGGAAGTGAAGGATTCCCCTGCAGCCCCGAGTCCCCTGGAGGGCAGTGGTGCCGCAGGCTGGCGGGGCGTCTGCAGCCCTCTGGCCTCGGACTGGGGGTCGCTCTCGAGGCTTCTCAGCGCCTGCCCAGCATGGCGCCTTTCGGACAGTGCTTCCCACACATCCTACAGCTTGGAATCTGACTCAAAAAGCCGAAGCGCAGGAACCAAGGGAGCTGACGCCCACCCAGGAAGAGGAGCTAGGGGTAAAGGGGTGGAGAGAAGCGGAGCACAGCTGTGGCGGCGGGGAGTAGGCCTTGGGTTCTGGAGTCTGTGAGGCTGAGGGCAGAATCCATTTCCTCCCTGCAAGGGCTGCCTTCCGGGGAGACTTCCTCCCCCATCCCTCAGGAGAAGCAAACCTGACTTCAGGTGTCTGCGCTTCTCTGAAACAGAGGCCAGGAATGGAACACTGAGGAGAACTGAAGTCTGAAGGAGAAAATGGGAAAAACCCAGCCACTTGGCCTGAGGGAGGGGACAGGCCAGGCACGAACTGCAGTGACCTTCCAGACAGACGGCGACTTGACCCTGTCACAGTGAAGAGCGCTTGGGCCTGGGCCGCAGGTGTGTGGTGCATTCTTACAGCACCACAGCTGAGCAGGCCTAATCTGAAAATCTGAAGTGGGAAAGGCTCCAAAATTGGAAACTGACACAGCCACAGGCAGAAAATTCCACCCCTGACCTCACACGACAGGCGACTGGCAAAGGCAGGGGCACCCAGGTACTTCGGGCTGTTGCCTCAGGCCACGTGGGTGACAAGTGCTTACAAAACCCAAAGGAAGTTTGTACTGAGACTGGGGACCCATCCCGGGCATGTCATTGTGTGCATGCGGGTACTCTGAAATCACAAGAACCCCAAACCAAAGTCACTCCGGTCCCGAGGTTCCAGAAAAGGGACCTTCCCGCTCAGACACTTCCAGAGAGCGAGGCAGAGGAGGCTTTGGGATCGGGAAAGAGCTGACGTCCGTGGGGAAACGGCTCCATCATCCCTGAGCCATGTAAACTGTTTTGAAAAAAATGAGAACACTGCACCTTGTGGTCAGTGGAAGCCCACCTCAGGGAGGAAGCGCATGGCCTCAAACATTCACACCTGGGTCACAAACTGAAGCTCTTGTGGGGCTGGGGAGGGCACAGCACCAGCTCGGCTCAGGAGGAAAGCTACTGTCTGCTTCGCTCACATCTGGGCTGAATCTCAGGCTCCGGGTCCTACACACTTACAAGGGAACCTGGAGTCCCTGCTTGCTCTCAGAAAAGAACTCCCTGGGAATAATACTTCCAAAATCTCTTCCTCTCTTCCAGAACACAGTGAGTTTGGATGGTTCAGCCTGGGTCACAAAATACGGAAGCAGACCTCCTAGCCCACCCCGCGTGCTAAGACGTCTGTTCGAAGACGATCATCGCCATGGCTGATGTGGAAAATCAGCGATGATGAACGTCTGTCCATTGCAGCTGCAGTTACGGTGCTTGCAAGTGACAGCTATGAGAAAAGTGCCCGGGTGGTGGGCAATGAGAGCGAGAAGCTGAGCATCTGTGCTATGCCTCCGTGCAGGACGTGCAGGGCGGACCTCCTCACCCTCAGCCCTGCCCGGTAACCACCAGGAAGCCCTGGGCTCACACTGTGGCACTGCTGAGGCTGGGTCAGGAGGCACAGTGGCTTCCGGTTCCCCCTGCCCTGTTCTCTCTGGGGAGGCTGGCACCACATCCGGGTCACTCAAGCAAGCATGGAGAGGCCAGGTGGGGAGGAGACAGGCCTCCCGCCGGGAGCCGTGGGAGCCAGCAGACGCCCCAGCAGGCCTGTCGCTTCAGAACAAGCACCCTCTGTAGGCGCTGAGTTGGGGGTGACTGGCTGGGCAGGAGCAGGAAGGAAGTAGGCACCTGGAGAGGATTTCCGGGAGCGCACAGGCAGGACAGCGTGGTCACTGCAGTCGCCTCTGGGGAGGTGAGTGAGTCAAGGGGGTGGGAGCGCTCTGATCCCCCACTGTGTCCTGTGGCTGCTCCACCCTGGGGGCCGTCTCGGCGCGTGCCTGCGTCACCTCTGAACGTCAGGAAGGAGCACACTAGGGGAGGTGCCAGAGGCAAAGGAGTGGCCAGGGGCTCACCCTCCCACGGCACAGGAGGCAAGTACAGTGGCGTGGACACAGCGTCCTTCAGCCAGGGCACCGCTAACGCTCCAGAAGGCACAGGTTTGGGGCTGAAGTATGATCCTAGCACGATGACAACCGTACGTGATCCTACACAGTGACAGGCCAGCCTCCAAAATATCACTGCCCCAAGACACCCTTAGCACGCCGCCTCATTCATGCCCATGGAAGCCCACTGCGGCTTGAGCACGACAGAGTGTCCATCCTGCTTCCTGCTGGCATGGAGGCAGCTGTGTCAGGGAGCCAGGCAGACCTCAGGAGGACAGACACAAATATCCCGGCCCACGACAGCCCAGGGAGGAAAGAAGAGAAAATGAGGGCCTTAGTGCATCCTGTCCAAAGCAGGGTCAGGGTCCCCAGGGTGACACCAGGCTGGGAGGGCGAGCTGCTGACTGAGCTTGGCCTTTGCCCCTCGGTAAGAGCTCATACCTGGCAGTGACATCAGCAACCGCAGCTCCGGGCCAGGGAGAGATGCGTTGCTCCGCCCCTCGGAAAGGGAGGACAAGCGGAGGGCTCGCTGTCCCAGCAAATGCTAATCAGCTTCTCAGCTCACCTAGTCATCTTACCACGATACTCTTTACTAAACAACTAGCAGGTCTTACTAGCCTACAACTAGCAGTCTTAGCAGTTTCTTCAATCATTAATACATTGAATCAAAGCCTTTCACATGTGCTAATTCAGAATCATGCACTTCATACAGCAAAACCAACTTCCATTTCCATCCAGTCTGGACTGGCAGTCACCACATTTTAGAAAACTGCTCAGCAGAAATTGCTCGGTTATTGCTGGGAGTGGTGGTGCATGCCTGTAATTCCAGCACTCGGGAAGCTGAGGCAGGCGGATTGCCAAGAGTTCAGGGCCAGCCTGGACTACATAGCGAGACCCTGTCTCAAAAGACTCCTTGGTAAGTGGCTGAACGGGGCACGCAGTGGAGTGCTGAGGGCAGACTGCTCCCTGGCCACTGCCCCTGCGGGCATGTGTCCTCACCTTGCAGGAGCCGGCCGCCCCTGTACAGGTGCAGAGCCAGCGCCGCCTCAAAGGGCTGTGCAGAGAGGAGGTCCGAGACGTCTGCCGGGCTCTCAAAGTCAGAGGCATCTCTCAGAAAGCAGCGGTGTCCGGCGGCCTCCAGGTGGTCCCTGCACCACAAATGGGGGACGGAAAGGATGAGGTCACTCACCAGCCACACGCTGCCACCGCGATCGCCGAGATTCCACTCGCCACGCTTACTGACTGAGTGGCCCTCTCTAGGAAGGAGGCACGAGGTCGGTGGCAGTCGCTGCTCCACCCCGGTGGGGCTCGGACACCTGGACTGTGCTGGACCAAGACAGCGGGCGAGGGCTGGTTGGGCCGGGAAACCTCATGGACAGGGGCATGTTCTCCCCGGAGTCCCCTCCCAGGTCCCTGGATTCCACACATCACATCTTCTTTCATGTCCCTTCATGGTGGAAGGCGCCCAAGTTTAACTTCAAACTTCTGTTACCCATTTCTTAGAAGGGACTTCAAAGTCATCTATCATCATGGCTTCAAAACATATCTCGTGGCCTTTCTGCTCCACCCCCCCAAAAAGAATCTCCTTTAAATATGTCTCTTTCTCGCCACTTTAGTTCAGCTTTTGGGAATATATCTGTAAATCTAAAATACAAACCTGGTTGGCAAAAAGAAAAAATTATGCTATTTTTTTCAGACAAGGTTTCACTGTGTAGTTTAGGCTGGCCTTGAATTGGCAGCGATCCTCCTGCTTCAGCCTCCAGAGTACAGGGATTACAGGTGTGTGACACCACATCCAGTTTAACAGAATCATTCTGAATGGCATCAATAGCAGGAATAAACTTTTTTAAATGAGAAATTGGAGGAGGAAATACTCACCACCCATAGAAAGGAAAATAAAAAGCTAACAGGTTTAATATATAAAGAGCTTTTATGAATTAATAAGAAAAAACTAACAACCTAGTTGAAAACATATAGATAGGCAAAAAATTGCAGTAAGAAATGCAATTGGGATTTTAAAACAGAAGAAATGGTGCCCAGCTTCAGCCACCTTTTTAAATAAATTGTCTAGAAAAATCAAAAAGTCTGCTTAGGGTTTCATGAAATAAACTCTCCTACACATTATTTATAAGATTGTAAATTAGTGCAGTCTATGTGGTCGACAAGACAGCAGCAACTAGCAAATTTGAAATGCACAAACTGACCAGGCGTGGTGGTGCATGCCTGTAACCCCAGCATCCTGGGAGGCTGAGACAGGAGGATTGTGAGTTTGAGCCCAGCCTGGGAAACTTAGTGACTTAGCAGGATCCTGCTCAAGACACAAAACAAAGGCTGGAGAAGCTCAGTGTGAAGGCTCGGGGTTCAATCCATCCATCCATACATACATAAAATTAAAATTAAGTAACAAAATGCACAAACCCTCTGACCAAATATCTCCACCTCTAGGCATTTGCTCCAGAGATATCCATGGCTATATGCGCAAAAGCAGGCTTGGGGAGCAGGTCCTATGCCACTGGGTCTAAAAGAGCAAAAAGAACAAAAGCCACCTCAAGGTGCATCTGTAGGCACCTCTGTGGCGGTGTGGCTCTTCCACCACTGAGAGTGTGGGTGGCTATGATGCGATACTTAGAATCGGCTCCGAGACACATTGTTGATGAAGACAGCAAGGCAACATTGCTTCATATAGATACAATGTGTGCACAGGGTATTCGTGTAGATACAATGTGTGCATAGGGTATTCACATAGATGCAATGTGTGTACAGAGCATTTGTGTGTGTGCATAAGGTATTCATGTAAATACAATGTGCGTACAGAGCATGTGTGTAGACACAATGTGTGTATAGAGTATGCGTGTAGATACAATGTGTGTACAGAGCATGTGTGTAGACACAATGTGCGCATAAGGTATTCCTGTAGACACAGTGGGTGCACAGGGTATCTGTGTAGACACAATGTGTGTACAGAGCGTGTGTGTAGACACAATGTGCGCATAAGTTATTCCTGTAGACACAATGGGTGCACAGGGTATCTGTGTAGACACAATGTGTGGGCATACAGTATCTGGAGGCCACTGAGTGGGAAGGAGTCTGTCTTAGCACACTCCTCAGTCCATTGTGCATTACTTAGCATGTGCACCTGTCATGGTTTATGACTGAGGTATGTGCGTGTGCACGCGTACATGGGGAAGCAGTCTATCCCACTGCCGACACCCATACCTCCACCCTGCCCTCCCACCTGCTGGAGGCGGCCCCAGAACACGGCCTTGGCGCCTCCAGGCCGCTCCTCCACACTGTGGCCCCGTGGTGCTCCCCACTCTCTGCTGGGCTCCACGCCTGCCCCGTCTCAGCCCCTGCGCTCCGAGGTGTGAAGGACGGGTCACACACCGAGGCTGGGCTACAAAACCAGCAAACGGTGACAACCAGGCGCACTCTCGTTGCCTCGAAAATCTCTAAATCATCCAGACAGCACGACAGCACAAAATTCAAGTCCAACATCACTTTTTTCCCCTGGCAATGAAATCGTTACTTCCTCAGCAGAACACCAGATGAGCTAGGCGTCTTGTGTTCAGAGACAAGACTGCACGAAACACAAGGTGGGACTAGAAAGGAGAGGAGAGTGTGGAAGGAGAGGGCGGGAGGAGAGAGGGGAGGAGGAGGAAGAGGAGGGAGTCATTCTGAGTCTTCAAGGCCATGACCATGCTGTGTCTGAGCAGGCCACCAGGGCTCAGGAGCCGGAACAGGGCTGGAACTGTGCGGTTTAAAGAGGACAGAAACTTCATCTGCGGGGTCGGGAGAGCGGCCTTTGAGGAGGTTAGGGTGAAACAATGTCATCAAGGTGGAGCTCCAGCAGAGCACTGGTAGCTCTATGAGAAAAGGGAGAGAGACTGGGACACACACACACGCACACACACACACATGCACACACGCACATGCACACACGCCCACCTCATCTCTTGGCATGTTCCACAGATGCCCTGCACCATCCTGAGGCTTCACCAGCAAGGTGTCCACTCAACATGGGCCCTCAGCGTTGAACTTCCACAACTGAGAACCAAAGAAACTCTCAGTTTACAAAGTTTCCCAGCCTCGGGTACTTTGTGATAGTAATAAAGAGCAGGCGAGTACAGGTTGCAACATGACCAAGTTATTTGTGTGGTGACCCAACAGCAGAGCAAAGGCCTTGGGAAGCAATATTAGATTTGAGCCCTCCGTCAGCGTCTAAGTGGGGGCATGAGGTGGACTCACCCTGGGTGCTGATATGTGAGTGGCGATGTTTCTTCCGGTCTCCTTTTAGAATGCAAATCAGATACGGGTCCCACAGTGCTGTGCAACTGAAGAAGTCAGGGCTCCGACTGTGCTGGCTTCTCCCGGAGCACACTGAGGTGCACATGCGTCTCGCCACTTCCACTGCCAGGTCCTGTCCCGCCATTGCCGGGCAGTAACCCGGCCCGCCCGCCAGATTCAGGGCTTCCGGAACTGCTGACGGCCACCCAGCTGCCAGGAGGCCCGAGGCCCCATCACGGCTCCCTTCAGCCTAAAATTGCATCATGCACACTGCGCATCCTCCATGCTTCTGAGCAGGACTGAGCAACTGCTACTCCATTTTCTTACGGCGCTAAGGATGGAGAAGCCAAGCAAGTGCGCCAATAAATGGGAAAGTTTGGCGTTCCGCTTAGAGGGTCCGTTCCTGGGAGACTTAGGGCTTCTGCAGACCCAGTGCTCCCTGCACCTGGAGGGGCTGTGCGACAGCGGGAGCCATGGTAATGGGTTGTTCTTGAGCCATTAAACCTATTTTAGGCAGAATTTAGACACTAATGATCTCATAAGTATTCTAAATAAAAGCTTTAAGCTTAATTCTCTATGGACTAAAATTTTCCCTCGTGTCCTGTCCACTTAGGACACTTCTACATGGTTGTATCGCAAGTCCTTCTGTCAGGTAATACTTCAACTAATAAACTCACGGAGTACCTATCTATCGTGCCCAGGAAACTCGGGATGTTTTTCCTAATGAAAGCTTTTTTGAGAATAACAAACAACAAAAAAAGAAAGAAACCTTGATGGCTTACTGGCAGGTCCCAGGAAGGGAAGAAACCACCCACGCAGCCCTGACTGAGACCCAGAGGGGCTGGGCTGTCTCCCGGCCCTCCCCTCTGGCCTCCAACCCCTGTGCCCAAAGGTACTTAGTGGTCTCTGCTCAGCTCGGCAGGATGCTCTTGAATGACAAGGTCTGGGTTTAGACGTAAACGTCAGGAGCAAACCACCGGGGCAGGGGCACAGACTGCATCCCTCCCCGCCCTGTTGCCACAGGGCCCTGAGACAGGGATGGAACTGGCATTCCCAGTGCCGCCCAGGCTGGGGCCCTGGTGGGTTGGGCCCTTCTCCCAGCACCCACTGGCATCTGCACCCTACCTTGGCCTCCCAGAGACAGCGTGTTCTGATCTGGCCTCCCGATGGGGGAGAACAGCGGCTGGCCTGGACCGTGTGTGAAGACTACCAGGCAGCACCCATCTGGCCTTGGAATGAGAAAGTCCCATGAGAAGGCGCTGCAGGGTCCCAGGCGAGAAGCCCTATGTCACCCGTCTGTGCACTGGTGAGACATGGGCGACACGTCCTGTCCCCGGGATGTTATCCCTGTGAACCTGCTGTGCAGACTGAAGTGTGAGACGCTTAATGGGACTCCTGATCTCCGGAGGTGACAGTAATGAAATCTTTTTAAAGAGATGCAAAAATACAATGCTCCAGCATGCAAAGTGACCGGGCCAGCGGTGTCCACTGAGATGGGGAAGCCACAGGTCACCTGAGCCGGGGAGGAAGATGGGCTGCCGGTGTCAGCCACAAGTGGCCACATCCACATAGAGGCGCCCAGGGTGGTGAACACACACACACACACACACACACACACACACACACACAATTAGTAAATTATGAACAGGTAAATATACATGTGGATGTATATCTATACTTGATTTCACCTTGATTGAAATTGTTAAGATTTCTGCATTGCAGAGAACACATTATTAAGGCTGATTTGTCTGTTCCCTTCAAGATGTTCACGGCTGTTAGGAGGAACCCTAAATGGCCTAGGTGGCTGGCGTCATGTTTCCGTAGGAGAGCAGGTGAGAGCCTGCTCAGCTCCGGGCCCAGAGGTCAACACAGGGCCTGCTCCTCTGTCAGAGAAAATCAAACTGCCAGACAGGTTGCGGGGTGACGGGGTGCAGCTCAGTGGTGGAGCATGTGCTTAACATGCAGAGGGGTCCCTGGGCTCAATGCCCAGCATGAAAAATGGAAAAGGAGAGAGAGAGAGAGAGAGAGAGAGAGAGAGAGAGAGAGAGAGAGAGAGAGAGAGAGAGAGAGAGAGAGAGAGAGAGAGAGGGAGAGGGAGGGAGGGAGGGAGAGAGAGAGGGGCAGGCTCTAGTTTCACCCCCAAGCCCTGTCCTGCATCCTCCAGAGTGGGCACAGTCGTCCCTGGCCTCCAGCCGCTCACCACGTGGGCCCTCTGGCTCTGGACTGGACAGCCCCGTGGGCAGGGGGACACCGCCAGTCCCCTCCCGGTGGCCACTGCACTTGGGCTCACCTCGCCTCTGGTCCTCCCCCTCCCGACCGTCTCCTTCTGAGGAAGCCCTCCCCCTCTCTGCCCTGCCGCTTAGAAAATTCTTTCTCTAGCCCACACCACCAAGCAAACTGTTCCTCCCTTCGCGGATGCATCTCAGGGTGCCCAGGTCCTGCCCCTCCCTGATTCAGCCAGCAGCGTGGCATCCCCCGGCACCTGCTGCCCAGCAAGCCACGCTCCATTCGTGCTCTCCCTGCCTCTCATCACAAAGGCCCCTCTGACTCGTTTGCAGTCTGCACTCTTCTCTCTCCTGTGCCTCCTCCTCTGAGCCTCCCACATTCCCAGCAGGACGCAGGGGATCTCCACTCAGGGACAGCTTCTAGCCAATCTCTGCCACCCTCCCCTGCTGCACCACATGGTCTCCTGCCCACCTTGGGGGCTCCGCACGCGGTTCCCTGTGCTGCAAAGGCCCTCCCCAGCCCGTCCGTCTCCCCTGGCTGAAGGAACTTGCTCCTCAGACGTGAGCTCCCACCGCAGCACCGCTCCTATCAGCTGGGCCTGCAAGTGACCCAAGTGCCCACAAGCCTCCACGGATGTCGGGCAGAGCTGTGCAGCAGAGGAGAGAACCTTCCCGGCCACACACGGTGACGTTCTGACGCGTGACAGAGTCCTCAGAAAGGGCCCCGTGCAGCACCATTCCAGTGACGGGACCCGGGCCAGGACAGGCAAAGCCACAGACACAGAGCCGGGTAGTGACTGCTGGGGCTGGGGCCTGGGGACAGCTGAGGGTCAGGAGTGCTCCGACCACACAGAGCTCCAAGAACACACTGAGCAGCTGTGCACTTTAAGGGCGCGTGTTATGGGAAGAATGTCTGCTTAAAAGACAGGAAAAAAGGAAAGCAGCTGTGGGCAGAAGCAGCTCTTCCTGGGGAGCCTGCCAGGCCCTGAACGCCCTGCACCCCTGTCACAGGGCTGACGGCACTGTGACCGAGCAACTGGGTGAGGCCTGCACTGTCCATCACCAAGGTGGGAGCTCGGCCCGGTCCAGAGGACACCACCCCTCGCGGAGGCCCCGCTGTCCCAGGAGGTAGTGCCGGCAGACACACGGTAAGTGCAAACGTTAACTGATGCCCCACGCCTCCGAAAGGCCTCTTTGCCACCACCAAGTGGACACCCACCGTCCCCTTTGACTGCCCTAAAGAAAAGCCAGAGAACTTGTGCACTTCCCACGTGCTCCTGTTTCTCCCCAAGCGCAGCAGTAAGGGCAGCATCCCGCGTGGCAGAGCAGCAGGTAGCTGAGCCCAAAAGGGAAAGTACCACCGTGTACATGGTGCCAGATCCTCCCTCTTTCCCCGGGCCGCAGGGCTGCAGGGGCCCCTGGATCTAGAGTGCTTCCCGTTCTGTGCAAACACATGTGCTTGCACACTGGGCCCCGGTGGGGAAGAGCAAGCAGTCACCACCCACTGCACAAAGTCCGCTGACCTCACAAGGACGTTTGCAATGATTCCGAGGCCCAAACAAACACAGGAAGAGTTGCTCAACATCGCTGGCAGTGAGAGAGACGGAAAGTGACACAACTCTGAGGCCTGTCTCACCCCACGGAAAACGGCCATCATCCCATCAGGTAATAACAAGTGCAGCGGGACTGCGGGGTAGAAGGCCCGGCCACGCTGCTGGTGGGAGCATGACTGGGACCACCACTGCGGGGACCAGGGTGGAGACGCCTCAAAATCCACAAAGAGAAATTCCACTGCACCCAGATATTTGCCTTCTGGGTATCTTCCCCAAAGAGTGAAAGCCATCGTATTGTAGAGTTCCACGCGCCCCATGCTTACAGGAGCACAGTTCACAACAGATAAATCTTGGAAGAGCCCTAGATGCCCATCAACAGATGAGTGGATAAAGAAAAGAAAATAGAGCACTACTCTGCCATAAAGAAGGACAAATTTAGCTATTTATAGGAAAATAGATGCACTATGAGACCATAATGATAAGTGAAATAGATTAGACACACGAGCTTCAATATCACATGGCTTCTATTACATGAGAAATCTAAAGTATAAATAATTTAAAGAGCAGAATAAAAGAGACAACAAGGAAGAGGGAGATGGATTTTTTGCAAATGAGAAAGGGATCGAGAGGGACGGAGGGAAGGGAAAGGGAAATAGAAAGAACTAAGATGTGTTCTGTGCGTAGAACAACTCCCCATGCTGGCTGCGATGTCATCTACTGCAAATGTGGACTAACAACAAGAAACAAATTAGTGAACAGATAATCCCGAGGCAACACTTCCCACCCTAGATTGCTCTGACCCTGTGGTGTGCTACTGTCTGTCCCCTGAGGAGACCCAAGTCTGCATTTCCCAGCTCCCTTAGGAGCTGATCCGGGGCCACACACTGGGTGTGGAGTGGATATCCTATGGTTGTTCAGTGCAGAGAGGGCTCAGAAAACCCCTTCTGACATGCAGCATAGAGAAGGCACCTTCAGGCTTGTGGGCTGGAGGGTCTCGTCCTAGCCCCTCAGCTTGGCCCTCACAGTCCCTGGCTCGGGGTGTGGCTCGGGACCAGGGTGGCAGAACGGAAAAACAAAGGTGGTGGCCCGATGCCCACAGGTGACATGGGCTGGTTGGTCCCACTTGGTTTAGAAGATTATTTCCGGGTTTCTGAGGACCAGCTGCGCACACATCAGCACTGCACCCTGAAACTGGATCCCCACCTCCTGCCCCACAGAGCCGGTTCAGAGGTTTTTACATTGGTTCTTCCTGCAGCTCTTCTCTCCTCTGCAGGTGGAATGAGTGCTCTCAGGTTTCTGACCCCACTTTTTAACTCACCAGAGTAAATTTTAATTCTTTACTATGCATTTATTTCTAACCTCAGGGATAGGAATCGGTCTACATCAAGGAGCTCAGCTCAACGGGGATTGTCAGGTTCTTCTAGCAAAGGTTTGCAGCCCCAGGGTACTGGAGGTGGGTGGTGACCTGTATGCCTCCTTCCCACCTGGCCACACAGGTCTGTGGGGCCCTGAATCTTGTCCTAGGCCCACATCATCTTCCCAGTAGACCCCACATCTTAGAAACCCCGAATTGCTTCGAGATGACATCAGATAGTGAGCCAGTCCTGGGGTGCAAGATTCATACTCTTGGGGCTTGGCAACCGTTATGGAGAGGAGGGGCCCAGTCATTGCATTTAAGACGCTAAGTAGCAGCCAGGGCTCTGACTTTCATGGCAGCCCACACGCCCACCCCGGAAGAGCATTCAGGGTGACACAGAGCCCAGACACGGACTCCCAAGTCAGCGTCACAGATGTGTCACACAAAACGCATTGGCCTGTCACCGCACCCTCTGAAATGCCGAGAGACAGCCATGCACCGGAACCCACGTACCCTGCTTGCTGCCTGCCTCCTCCTCTGCAGAAAAGGAGCCATGGGCTTGTGCTCAACACTGAGCCCAAGCCCTGCTCTCTGTGCTTCTCTGCCAGTCCAGAGCGAAGGCGTGCTCGTCCCCTCAGGCCCCAAGCTGTGCGCATGTGTGTGTTCATGTGCTCGTGTGTGTGTGCACGTGCACCACTGATGGGCCTCGCAGAGCTCTGGAACTTTGATGCTGGGGCTCAGAGAATGATACCACAATGTGAAGCTTCAGAAGCAGACTTTCTCTCTGACCTTCTCCTCTCGTCTTCTCCCTGAGACAAACCACAGAAACTAGAATTTGTCTTCTAGTCTCGGTCCTAGAAACCACAATCTCACCAAAGCCAGCCAGAACCCTACAAATCAAATCTTCCCTGCCTTTCTGTCTTGCTGGGAGCCATGGAGAAACTCTCTCATCTCAGCTGTCTGAGGAAGGGACCCAAGACCCCCTCCCAGAGTTTCCTGCCCAAACCTGGGTGGAAGGAACGCTGTATGGGGATGGGAAGGGTCGGGGTCCGTGTGGGTTTCCTGCTCCCACCTATGGCTAGGCCCCACCCCTTTCCGATCGTGTTTCTGTACATCGAGTCCCTGCTGCATGGGCCCGCTCACCCGAGGCCCAGGCTTAGGTCTGCAGTCCGTCAGGACAAACCATAATCCAGGGATGTCGTCCTGCCTCTCCCCAGAAGCTGTCTTTTGCTATAGGCTGCAGGCTGTGACTCTGGATGGTGACGCAGGCTCCGCCCTCCCCTGATGGACAGGATGGCCCGTCAGGAGGGTCATCCTGGGCACTGGAGGACACAGCAGCTCCAGGCCCGCAGCTGCAATGTCACCGGTGTCACCAAAACTGCCTCCAGGTCATCACCTGTCCCTGGAGGCAGTGGGAGACACTGAGCTCCCCTCCCCCTTGACACCCGAGAGCCGAGTTTCCATGAACACCCCGAATTCACTGACTGCATCCTTCATCCCAGACACTGGTGTAGAGTACGGGAAATGTGCCGATGCGCTTGACCCTCAGGGCCACCCTATGAGGCGGTCAGGCCAGGGTCCCTACAACTGATAGGAACCCCAGCCACCAGGCAAGGAAGCCAGCAGGCTCCTTCGGCAGTGGTGAAGCAGGGAGTGGCACTCATGGGCCTGAGGCCTGCCCTGACCTCAGGCCTGGGTGGGTCCCTCACCTACTTCTCCCAGCCCTCTGTGTTTCTGATTTCAATAAAGCCACTGCAATTTTGTACTATTTATGTATCAAGTGTTAATTTTTTAAAAACATACATCTTAAGAGACAGGATCTTGCTATGCTGCCCAGGATAGCCCTGAACACTTGTGGTCAGGGATCCTCCTGCCTCAGCCTCCAGCGACG